ATTTTAAGTTTTCACAGGAACCAAATAAGATTGCATCGAGGACCGTGTCAGCAAATTTGTTACAGTAGTGTCAATGGAAATCTGGTCACCTTCGCCTTATCTCCGAATATCTTCGTTACAAACCTTCATCCAAAATGGAAGTGAGCTCAACAATTACGAAATTATACTAACTATGCGGGACTCATTTTCATATTCACTATAGGGAATACCTTAAACACAATCAGAAGGCCAACAAATAAGACATAAATTACTCTAAACTCAAACGGGGACGATAATTTAATTAAATCACCAAAAGGATCCATGAAATCGCCATTATTATATTCAGTTGAGATTCATAAATGATAGCATAATTTACCAAGCGACTATCAACGCTCATGAGCAAGAATTAGGAGAATCTGGTGGGGACGATTTATGGCCAAAGGGCTGACCGACAACACCAGAAATAGGTGCAATTAAAGAACTGCTCACTTGAGCCTCAAGCGAGCAAAGAGTGAATCGGATCACATCCATCAATTCGTACGGCCCGACTCGCCATTGTACTGTCTCCTCTCCCTCTGCTTCTGCCTCTTCTTCGCCTTCGTCATCGCCACGATCATTATGACCCCCAACCCCTGGCATAGTCGTGGAGGGATTGACTAAAGAATTCGAAGAGGACCCAAACCGCTTGATTGGAGATTTCGTTGGCAGCGCACGCTTGGAGCGACGGCCAGGAGACACGACAGCACTTTCCCCTGTTGTAGCTCCAGAGATTACATCCACAAGTTCGGTATGCAGGACTTGCATTGATGTAGGGTCAAGCCAGTGGAAGAGTTCGAATGCCGTCTCCGATAAACAGAATTTATTGGCTAGACTCCGACGCCGCTCTTTCTCTTCTACGTGTTGCGCCCGGGTCAGAGCCAGGTTCGCTGAAGCAAAATCGGCGCGTGAAGCGGCAACCGATGTGGCCGATGCCATCGACGTAGAGGCTTCATCAGAAAGGCCACCTCCAAGAGCCTCCAAGTTACCAGCTGCACACCCTTGTCCCCCCGATTGGCCTTCATCCCGAGAACCACAAGTTGAATCAGTGGGACGCGGCGGAACTCCCACGGTATATACATTGGTCCATTCGCGCCACTCACCCTCGTCAGATAAACGATATACCGAGAGTTTAGTGGAAGACGGAAACGCACTTGAAGTAGTGGATAACGAGTTGTCTCGAGGTGGACTAAGCAAGAAGGGAATGATAGCCTTGGGCGCATGAATAAGTTCAGCTAGTTCGGCCGGCTCGAGGGCGACAGTAGAGCTGATGTCGTACTGATTCAATAAGAAACACAGGTGAAAAAGTGTATACGAAATCAAAAGATTAGCTTCCATTAACAAACAAAGTCTTATATAGCATAAAAGTAGTCTTTTTGGTATTTCTGAAAAAAAATTACATAAATAAGTGGGTACACCTCAGAAGCGCAGAGCGAACTAATAGGGTATCATAAAACAGTGATAGACAAATGAGATATTTGGGTCTCCACAAGTCAATCATGTGGTTGTTACAAGACAAAAGCAATTAGATAAGCAACAGACTTATTATAAAATAATTAAAAGGTAAAATATGAGCTATGCTATTCTCAAGTTTGCACGGGCTGCATCAACAAGAGATGCGTTTGTAAAGAGATGCTACAAGTAAACGTCTAAATGCTAAAAGCCTGGGTTCACAAGCAGTGTGTTTACACACAAAAACGAACTCACGGAAAGAGGATTATGTTCAGATGGGGGCTTATTTATAGCTTTGACACTTTCCTCACACTTTTGCTCCACTTGCTTGTGACACAAAGAGATCCGCTCTATCAGGCCATCCTGGTTGCGCACTAAGCAGCCTTCCGAGTCTCGAAGCACGAACGCTCCTAGGATTACACTCTCTTCATCCGCCTCCACTTCCTCCTTCTCATCATCATTACCCTCTCCCTTTTTCCTACGAGCCAATGAAGATACCAAATTACTCGACTTAGTCTCAACGGCATGTCCGATATCAGAAACAGTTTCTTTGGATACGACCGGTTTCTCGTGCACAGAAGTGTAATCGTGGTTGCTGGTTACAGATCTGGAAGTGTTTCGAGGCCGATGCGGTCGTGCTATGCTGGTGGGCATGATCGATAGGCCTGCTATTTGTGACTGTGTCAGTGGTGCAGGATGCTGACGAACAATCATACTTGGAGGAGGAGTGACATTAGACGGTATTGGGAGACGTGCAAAGGAGGTCAAGATAATTGGCGTAATAGCTTTCAGTCGGTCCTTCGTTGGGATCCCATTGTTTGCCAGTTCTTCTTCTTTATTATCATCATCGTCCACATCTTTCATCTGGTGCTCAGTTAAGAACTCGGCTTTGTCTTTCGTGACTAATCCATGTTCAATCGATTTTAGATCATCCTGAAGACAAGAGAAGGAAATAAGAATAATAAATCATCCAGACGATTGGGCATGGTTTCATACAATGGTATAAAACTTAAATTAAACATTAATGAAACTATAAATAATCCTTGATATGAAGACCCAAATGCTGGGACTTCTGTATTGGTCAGTCTCCTTTCGATGTATACCAGTGGTCTGACCTCGTTTTCATAAGTTTGTCGTGCTGCCAGACAGACCTCGTAGGAAGTCCTCTACCAAAGTAGTTACAACTTATTAAATAACAAGTAAAGTCAATACATTGACCAACTTTCCGCCAAACGGTGGGGAAATATTAATGTACTACGTATCCTCTTATCTTACTCATGTCCTATCACAACTTCTAACTTGTGTATATTTGATTGCTTTAGAGGAGTTTCCTTTAGGCGAGTTTTGTTGGGCATACGGTTTGATGTAGAATCTATGTGTGCAAACAGCTCTGGAGAGAAGGCACTCAAGGCCCTGCTGAAGATCTTGGATTGAAAAGAGAATATACTGAAAGTAGTAAGGATCAAGAGTTGTAAAAACGATTAATTAATTGGCAATAGATTAGTTACTTCACATTCAACGGCAAAATCTACAAACAAATATTTGGATTTACCATGAGATTGCCGTTATGGTCTCTTTTGGCAAACATATACATGGACAAATTAGGAAATAGTGTGGTGTGCACCTTCGAGCGGCATTCATGAAAATCCTTTCACACTCCACACTGTCGTTATCACCCCCTTCACCCTTGTGTTGGGAATGTTGATCAGAGTATGTCATATTGTTACATAGTCCTTCCCTGGGTCCTATCAAAGTCCCCCTCTTGCACCGTCGAATCCGTCTGCTATCTCCCTGATACATGTATTTCACTCGACCCCTGCTATTCGAGGCGTAATTCACCTATCCCCTGCACCTGGGTGATTGATTAGAGGCTAAGGCCTCAGAGTAAGTCTCATGGTCATGCCTTTGCTACATGGACCACGTCTCTTGTAATAGCATACGAACATAAGAACAGCAAAGACGCTGCATAAAATAGATTTAAAAAAATTATAAATTGCTAAACCCATTGCACAAACTGGACACTAGATCAATTGGAGGGGAATAGAAAGAAGGGCCCCATACGGTTAAAATACAAGGAAATGGAAGATTAGACAGACTATCGACATCCTTGCTGAAGGAAATTTAATGAACAGAAAGTTGTAAGAGGGCAGAGTTTGCGATACCTTTGTCTGTTGCATAGGCAAACTCAGATCAAATTGAGATGAGTTAAGCCAAATAGGAATCATAGACCGCTTATACTTTAATCTCTAATCATAAGACTCACGAGATATAAAACTTATTTGAATAATAAGATTAATTATCAGAACCAAATAATCAGTTTACCAATCGTGTTCGGCTTAAAGAATAAGTTTATGAGATCCTTCCGATATCCGAAAGACTTTGCACACAGAAACACGCAAGAACATTTCAAACCAAATAGAAAGCACTCAGATTAAGCCAAAAGTCTTATGAATAAAAAAATTCAAGAGGAAGGTCTGATTTCCTGGTAGTCTGAAAATATCCTTGACGGTTCACTTAACTTCATCCGAACAAAGTTATATAGATATGAAAAAGAAAGTCATTAATGGAGACATTCCCAATACCAATTAGTCAGCAATGTCATATGAAAGGATTTAATATCGTCATAAGTAGTCGCACGAAACAACGCTATGATAAAATCAAACAAAATATTTGGTTATATAGTAGGTAAATTAGGCCACACCATCCTGGTCTATATACCTTCGATTAAAATAGTTCGTTAATTGCAACATTTTAAATTGAATAAAGAAAAATATAACGCAAAACTAGTTACAATTTAACTATTAATACAAACTGAACGAGCCCTCATATACATATATGGTCAATATTTTTCAAAACTCTAAATATATCATAAGAACTGTGTTCACATTAGGTCAATTAAAGGATTAAAAATTTTTTTTTTTCAAGAAATGGAATGAATAAGTATCACAATGCGAACAAAATTCACAAAACCTTGTCTTGCAAAAGGCTCTTATCCAAGATGGATTACTTTTTATGACTCACCTGGATCTTATCAGCATCATCTATTAATCCTATTAAGAGTAGCGAGGAGACCTAGGCGAGTGAGAAAACGCAATCCACCCTGGATGAAAAAGCCGTTTGAGAGGCAAGACTATGCGAAATTTAATATCATGGGATGAATGTCCAAGCAA